TTGATGTGTGTTTCACACTTTTCGCAGAATTCAAGCTTCCTCGGAAGAGATGCGATTCCAAGATTATTTGGGCGACGTTTTAAGTTCTGTCCGATTTGCATCAAATCGTAACAGTGTTTACTGACATTTTCAAATTAATTTTCAGAACTTATTTGAGACCCCTTCGCAAAGTTCAACGCTATTGGATCAAAAATGCGGGTCAAAGGTTTAATAAACAAAAGTTTTTTATTCAGCCTCAAGATTGTTACCACTAGCTTTCTTAAACATATTTTTAAATTTAAGTGGAGATCAGGATGGGTAGATTTCAATTTTTAGCAAATAACGTTCCACGGACAAGGCCGGGAAATACCCGCTAGTGCTGTTCCTATAACAGGCTATAACGGCCTTCCCGCCGTCACGAATAATCGCGTAACACTACACTAAATCTGCACATCTAAACAGCTAACTAAGTTTACTAATATTAAGCCGGGGCGAATAATTTCTTTGCACCTCACCACCTTTTTTTGCTCAAGGTCATGGATTCTGAGAATGGCGTTACGTCTCCTGCAATATGTGGGGCACAGAAAGGTATCTAAGGGTCCTAGTCGAAACCCGACCTGGACTATGGGATTGCTCTTAAACTGCCCATGCGATCCTGTGTCTAAAAGACCTTATGAGCTGTGTCCCCGGTTTTTTCGCCTCTTTTAACCACGTCTGCAGCCTGTTTCTTCACAACGGGACTTCTACGAAAGCGGTCTAGTGCCTTATTAATAGCGCTCGTCACTATACGTATCCCATCTAATTGCCTAGCATTAAACATCTCATATTTCTATATAATTCTTTCATCTTTCTTCAGGAGCTTAGTGCTTGAATAAATTTATATTCTTATTCCTACAAAGTTCTTCCGGCCTATTGGCTATTCCTTCTTTTGGGCGCACCGCATCCCTGCGAGTTGCCTTCCGTTTTACGCTCCTCCAACCGTCTTCCGAGTATTTAAGACATTTGCGAGATATTTTGTCTGAATATTAAACTAAGCACTTTACATTCCTTGGATGGACAGTGTCTAAAATCGTGGCTTGTGCGGCGCAGTCCCACAGTTCCAGCAGACGGGCCAGTTAGAGCGTCTATGATCAGAGTGTACCTCTTCCACGATTTCTTCGATCTCCTCTTCTAGCGCACCATCGGCTTTTGTCCTAAACCTTATCGGCGATGACACTCGTCAAAACGGGCTTTCACTTAATTGGCCTTATACCACAGCTAGTCGACTGTGAAAATGTATATAATCTTCCGCCACCTTCTACAGGCTTTTAATCGCATTGACCACGGACCATGAAACCAAGCCCTTCGCATAAAAGGCCGCTCCCCTCCCTCGCCTCAACTACCTCCCCAGCGTAGGGGAAATTACATAAGATTATCTAGATCACAATCCGTCTCGGGGCTGTTCATTCCATACTCTGGCCTACTATGCGCTGGCTTAGGTGAAAGAGGTAGCCCTTTTAATTGAGTGATATTTACATTGCGCTTGGGTATGGATTAACGAAGGTTGGCCGTTGTGATTTACCCTACCCGATGGAGTTTCCGAGTGCTCAACTTTTGTGCGGCTGAAACTCTTAGACGAAGCTTTTTTAATCCCATGTCTTGGTAGTAATGCCATCTAGTCTGAGCTACGCCATCCAAACGAATACCGACTCCTAGGTTTGATAGCCGATTGCTCAGGTAATCCCTCTCATGAACGACCGGCATCCTAGAATCATTAATCATTTATCTACCAATCCTTGGCGTAGACTTAAAGCTTAACGCAGAATGACAACAGAGTTGTCCCTGTTGTTCATATCACAGATTATTACCAGGCAGGCAAATCGCTAACAATAAACAAGTAAGAGGTTCTAGTCGGGAGCTCCCGACTAGGGGATACCCTGAACCCTCCTTTTCCAACATCAAATGAATATATATATTCTATTTTAGAAGCTATATGCCAAGTTTGGTGACACTAGCTCTTATTATTCACCAAAATTGCCCAAAAAACAGGATATCGATATCGATTTTTATCGATTGCTTGGAAACGGAGTAAGTTATCGATTATCGGAAACAAACTCGATCTGCGCAGGCACTAGGAGCACCTACATGTAAAAGGATCAAGGATCTAGCTCTTATAGGTTCTGAGATCCTTGCGTTCATACATACGGACAGACGGACGGACGGACAGACAGACGGACATGGCTAGATCGACTTGGCTATTGATGCTGATCCAGAATATATATACTTTATGGGGTCGGCGATGCTTCCTTTTACCTTTTACATACATTTGGCTTTCGCACAAATACAATATACCCTTATACCCATTTTTAATGGGTTCAGGGTATAAATAGTGATGACTCAAAAGCCCCTCTACGACAAGAATGCTTCTGGATAAACCATGAGCCGCTTAAGCCTTCAGATACTAAACTATTTTACAATAAGCGAATGCCCCGGTCATTGATTAAATTGATCAGCATTTTAATGTGACATGTTAGAATCAAACAACTTTTAATAATTTTGCAATTGCGTATGGACACCACTTCAAAAGTTATTTCGCCAAGTTTTTGAAGGTTTTCCGTTCTCCAGTATAAGTTTTAAAAGTCCAACTTTTCACATGGTGCTCCATTTCCAAAATACTATTTATTTTGTAAATCAGAAAAATCTATTTCCTGTAGCTGTATATCATGAAGTTCGATGTATTCCGAGAGTTTCTGGGCATGTACATCTTAAGCGTCTTGTCCTCACATTGGCCACCACCACATTATCGAATTAAATTAATTTATTGATATCATCATTCATTAACCCTTCTACTTGGTTCATAATTAATAAAGAGTACCATTATACGCGAGTACGATAGAAAAGTAATAAAAAGCTTCTTACATTGTTACAAAAGTAAGTGAAATTAAAACAAACGGCAACAAAAAATAAATAAACATATAATACACAAAATACACGTCAAAATATACACAAGGACGTCTCTAATGATAGAATTGATATGATATCGATTTTTGTTTCTCACTTTTCGCAGAATACAACCTTCTTCCGTAGAAATGCGATTCAAAGATTTTTTTTGTAAAGCTTTAAGTGGTATCCGATTTGCTTTAAACTTATTTTCAATGCTCTACATAAGAACTTAATGAATACGTACTGTAGCGATAGAGCGAAATGTCACCCTTCAAATGTTTGCCCCCATTTCCACCAAGGAGGGATGGGGTTTCCCAAAAGTGCGAAACACCCCTCAAATAAATTTGAACAAAGATCTTTGAAATTGAGTTTGAGGCCGATCGGAAGGTTAACAAAAAAGTTTCATATTCAGCGTTTTCGACCTGTACTATTCTCTCATATCTTCAAAAGTTAAATGTTGGAAAGGGTATTAAATCTTCGGCGTACCGAAGATATCTTAACTTTCGAATATTCGTTGGCTGGCTCGATATCCGGGCTTAAAACAATTTTATTTAATTTTTGTTTCCGATATATTTCGGTTACACATCGGCAAACCGTCTTCAGGGCACTAGCACCACGATACAGAAAACAATTAACAATTAGATTACAGATAAACATTAATTTGAACATTTTACATACAATTTTTTACACGCTGCGCTTTTGGACGTGGAGATTCAAACTGAGGCTGTTTGGCTGTTCAAAAGATGTCTGTACAAGTGAGCGCAATTTTCTGTGTCTGTCTTGTAGTTTAGTCGTTTGTTGGTGGGTGTGTTAATTATGTGTAGCCTTTCCCATTGCTGTAAGATTGTTGTATCCTCACAATTTGGCGTGCGATTGCTTCTCATGCAGTGGGTCATTAGTGCTGTTTTCTGTATATTATTTTGATGTCTTAATTTGAAGTCCAATTTATGTTGACTGATCCTTGTTTTTAGTTTCGATTTTGTTGTACCTATGTAAACACTATTGCACTTGTTGTTGTTTTCCCTGCCACATCGTATTTTATAAATGACGTTACTTTTGTTAATCATGGGGATTTTATCTTGTTGAAGATCTTCTATAATGTGTTCGTAGGTTTGTGTGCTACTTTTATTTCTTCTTTGTTGTAAAAGTCTGAGTTTGTGAGACGTTCTGATCGTCGTGGAACATACATTAGGGATTTGTATATTTTGTCAGGTTCTCTTGGCTTATTCCTTTCAATTTGTCGTCTTTATAATAAAGTTTTGGTTACGTTTTGTGGGAAGTCATTTTACGTCAAGAGCTTATTAATTTCATGTTCAATTTCTTTGTGATATGTGGTGTCCGATATGTTAATCATTCTTTTTATACAGCCTTGAGCTGTATTGATTATCATACTCTTTGTGTGGTTTGAATTGAAGTTAAGTAATCGTCCGGAGGCTATGGGTTTCTTACATCACTTGATTTTGAGTGTGTTGTCCAATCTGTTAACTATAGAGTCCAAGAATGGTAATATTCCGTCCTTTTTAAATTCCATGGTAAATTTTATATGTTTGTGAAAGGAATTCAATTTTTTTAGAGTTTTGTGTGTTTTTTCTGTTATGGCAAAAAGGTCATCTACATATTTAGTCAAAAGTCTTGGTTTGATTATTAATCTATCTGTAATGTTGTCCAATAGTTCCTCCATTATTATGTCTGCGATTAATGGGGAGGCCGGTGATCCCATTGGCATTCCTTTAAGTTGTGTGTATATTTTTTCCTCGTATTTGAAATAACGGGTTTCCTGAATGCAGAATCTTACTATGTCCATAAATAGTTGTTTTGGTATACTGGTGTGTTCTTGTAGGTTGCTCTATTTTTTCTTATTGTGTCAAGCGCTAATTCCTTCGGTATGCTGGGAAGGAGACTACGGCGAATGATACTAATGTTTCTTCTTCTCTGATGTGGGAATTTTGAACTTTGTCTTTGAAATCTACCGCGTTTTTAATGTTGTATCTTTTTGTAACTTTCTCGATAATATTAATTTTGATATGCATCTGTTTATATGGAAGAACCAGGCGTGCAAGTTCAAGATTTTTATTTTTATTTTTATGTATATATGGAAGCATATGGATAATATTACAGACTGGCAAGTATTATACACTAGCAAAAATATGCGTTGTAAAAGTAAACGAGCAGGAGTAAACCAGATTAGAAATTCACGGCTAATTGGGGCAAAGGAATTACCCCCTCCATATCCAAATGGTTGGTATGGGATTCTTGAATCATCGAAACTTAAAGCTGGAGAATCAACACATATATCTTGTCTGGGAGAACATCTTATAATCTATCGATCTCAAGGAAATAAAATTTATATTTTGGATGCGTATTGCCCTCACTTAGGAGCTAATTTGGGCATTGGCGGGCGAGTTGTTGGGGATGATATCGAATGTCCCTTTCATCAATGGAGTTTTAGAGGGAGTGACGGAGTGTGTACCAATATTCCGTATAGTTCTTGTGGTAAGTCAAATACAGAAAACATGTTACTGCTCTAGAACAAGTGAATGTTATTTATTTATACATTTCAGTTCCGCAGGCTGCAAAAATAAAGAAATGGACCTCCACAGAAGTAAATGGATTTGTATTTGTTTGGTATAGTGTCGAAGGATCAGAAATTCCGTGGACTATTCCAAAATCAGTCGAAGTTGAAAGCAAAAAATTGATTTACCACGGGCGGAATGAGTTTTATGTACACTGTCATATTCAAGAGATACCAGAAAATGGTGCTGATCTGGCACATTTCGGAGCGATTCACAATGATAATATTGTAGCTAAATACCGCAATCGAATACAAAATATTCTTCGCTGGATTGGATATCATCAATGGCAAGCAAGGTACATTTTACTATAGAAAAAATATTTTTAGTCGAAAGCTTCATTCACATCGTACTAAACATGAAATAAGTTGAATACGGTTTTTAATGGGGAAGGCATTTTGTTTTGGTTGTTCTTATCGTTGGTTTTATATTTTAAGGGTGATAAAATGCTGGGTGAGCAAATAATCGAATTTTGAAAAAGCTTACATAATGCAGAATTGAAAGTTTCCAAATTACAATGCTGTTTTTTTTTATTAATCAACTAGTTCACAAAGTCCAAAATAAAATGTTCAAGCTTAAGATAAAATTATGCACTTTCTTCATTTTTTGTATCCATTTAATGGTAAAGGTAAAGGTAAAGAAAGGAACACAAAACGAAAAACTAAGAATATCTTCGTCACGCATCAAAAGATTGTGCTGTGACTACATTCGTTTAAACGAAAAGATCGCGAGGGGCAATTTATTAATGTCCTTAATGGACGATGTGATTGAGAGATTGCAGGGCCAAAGAGTGTTTACTACACTCGATCTTGCAAACGGATTTTTTCATGTTACAATTGAGCCCAGTTCGATAAAATTTACATCATTTGTAACAAGTTGAGGGCAATATGAATTTCGGTTTGTTCCTTTTGGAATATCGAACCCCACAGATGTATTTTCTAGATTCATTCACGGAAATCTAGGAGATCTTGTACTGGATGGTGCAATCGTAGCTTATATGGATGATCTTAAAATTCCCACCAAAAATATAAACGATGGTATCCAAAAGTGGAGCAAGTGTCAGTTTCTTTTGAAGGAAGTTGACTTTTTAGGGTATGTTAGGGAGGTAGGGAGGCACAATAAAACCATCTGTGAAAAAAACCCAGGCAGTTCAAAATATTTCTATACAGCATGACCTAAAAAGTTTGCAGCGTTTTCTGGAATTATCGTCGTACTTTAGGCGCTTTGTAGAAAACTATGCGCTGAAGATGATGAAGAGCAACTCGTCCCATTCAGGCAATTGAAATCAGCTTTTTCTCCAGTATTACGTTTATATAATCCGAAAGCTCAGACTGAAGTACATATGGACGCTTCAATGAATGTTTATAGTGGTGTACTCCTGAAAAAAGACTCAGATGATCAACTTATCCATCCAATTCATTTAACTAACCCTCAAAGGAAAAATATCGTTCTTACGAGCTTGAAGTGTTGGCTATAGTCCGAGCTTTGATAAAATGGTGCGTTTATTTACTAACCATAAAATTTAAGATCGTTACCAATTGTAGAGCTTTCGCTTTGACCATTAAGAAACGTTTCGCGTTGGGCATCATTCCTTCAAGATTTTGACTACAGCATTGAGCATCGAAATGGCATCAAAATGAGGCTTGTTGATGCTTTGGCCCGCGTATCCCGTCTTATGCTTAAGGACTCACTGCAGCATAAATTGCAGCAAGCACAAGCGAGAGATGATTGGGTCCGAACTTTGCTAGCTGTCTTGTGTTGTAGCACATACCAAGATTTGGCATCAGGTATGGCATTTTATACAGGGATCCCACCGCTATTATCGCATTTTGAAGACGAATTCATTAGAATTGCGCACAAGTAAGGGCATTTCTAAGCAAAACGAACTCAAAAAGCAATCGAGAAGACATTCTATATTTCGCAGCTATCGTCAGAGCAAATTAGGCAAGTAGAAGGTTTTTTTGGCAGCAATCGACAAAAATGAGTGTTTAGGTACGTACCATGTGAACCATGTCGATCCAATAGAGCAGACTAGTAAAAATTATAACTAAATTTGGCTGATAGTCGACGCAGTTGTCTACTAAGATAACTGCTGCAGGCAGCAGTGTTTGGATATCCTTATCGCATAATATCGGATAGAGATACAGCTTTCGTTTCAAATTTGTTCAAGGAGTACTGTGAAGCAGAAGGTATACAACATCATACGATTGCTACAGGAGTTCCAAGAGGAAAAGGTCAGGTAGAACGTATACACAAAATTGTAATACCAATGTTGCCGAAACTATGTTATGAAAATCCTTGTAGCTGCTATAAACATATTGATGTCGTTCAACAGACAATCAGCAAAACGCCGCCAAGAAGCACTCAAGTTTTACCATTGAGATTGTTGACTGGTGTGGAGATGAAACTGAAAAGAATATCGGAATTACACAGATTATAAGAAGAAGCTGCTATTGAGGAGTTCAGTACTGAAAGAGAAGAAATTTGAAATAAGAAAACTATTGCGAAAATACAACAGGAAAAAAATCTTTAAACTTAACATCGCAAAAAAAAAGGCTGAAATTTAAAAGAAACGACCACAATATGGCACTGGGTTACAACTTAAGCCTAAAATCTTTGGTCCACATAAAATAGTGAAGATTCAAAACCATGGAAGATATGACTTAGAAAAGGTAGGCGACTTAAGGTCCAGGGAAAACTACAACTGTAGCAGAATATATGAAACAGTGGGAGCCCAATGTTAGTATAGCCGAGCGCAGAAGTTGTAAATAGAACTAGAAGTGGTGGAAGTTATAATATGTTAAATTAAATAGGCGAGTATAATGTTGACATTATACTCATTTCGTTATATCATTAAACAAACAACATATAGACTGGACATCACATAGAAGGAAATTGGGCACAAAAATATCGGTGGCATCTGGTCCAAAATCGCGAGCAAGGGAGTAATATATATATATATTATCACTAACCAAACAACATATAGACTGGACATCACATACTAGGAAAGTGGGCAAAAAAATATTCGTGGCATCTGGCCCAAATCGCGAGTAAGGGAGTAAGATATACATATGACGTATTTTTTATTCGCTTACACTACAGGAAACTGCTTGGCGCATTCTCTTCCATATGATTTGTGCGATAGAACGGCAACGCTGTTTATTTTTATCTGGCTCGCACTTACTCTCAGTGCTCTCTCATGTTTAGGAATAGTTTAAATGTGTGTGTGTGTGTGTGTGTGTGTGTGTGTGTGTGTGTGTGTGTCCGACAAGCATAAATGCGCTCAAATTCAACCACCGATATTTTTGTGCCCAATTTCCTTAGTAGGAGAAGAGATGTGTTCGCTGTTACTCGTTGTTTTTTGAAATACATATTGGAAAATTTAAAATAAATATAAGTTTACGTTTATTCGCCAATTTCAATCAATAAAATAATAAGAACTTAAAGTGCTTGTGAAATCCATCGAATGGCCGTCCATACAAATTTGGTGTCAGGAGTGGGATTGACAGAAATTGTGAAATACTAAAATTGATGATCGAGTACAAACGTATGCAAGACTACTAAATCGAAGCATGACGAGAAAGAAAGGCTATCTTCGACATGCCGAAGATCTGATACCCTTGCAGACCCAGCCTTTTCATAATGCTTATAGAGCTTTGCCCGTATCTAAGAAGCACAGGGAAAATAGTGAATGCCGAGTTTGGTCAAGATATCTAGATAAACAAAAAAGGTTTTTATTAAAAACCAAGTTTTCGACCGATCGTTGCTAAGGCAGATATAAGATATAGAAGTCCGATGTAAATAAGATTTTGCAAAAATGAAGGGAGCATAGTGAAATCTTTAAATACCGTGTTTAATTAAAATATCATGAATGACAAAAAAGTTAAAAGATATCTTGAAAACCAAAATGTTTTTTCATACAACAACTTAATTTTCGACCGATCGTTCCTATGGCAGCTATATGATATAGTGCTTCGATGCATCTGGTTTTGACATATGTACTGCGTGCAACAGAAAAATGGACCTCTGCAAAGTTTCATTAAGACGGACAGACGGACATGGCTATATCGACTCGGCTGTTGATGCTGATCAAGAATATATATACTTATTGGGGTCGGAAATGTCTCCTTCTACGCGTTACACATTTCACGTCAAAATTATAATACCCTCTGCAAGGGTATAAAAATAGTTTCCCCGGTAGGTCTCGAACTCGCGACAGACAACATCACTTGCCACCGCCTCTACTTAACTGCCACTCCAATAATTGAGTCTTAATGAGAAAAATACCAATCAAAATAGTAGCACAGAAAACAATACAATCGCAATTATAATGCTGTTGATGAATACGAAGCAGTCGCGCATGAATGTGTGTGAATTTGCGCTGGTACCGCAAACACGTGTTTCTTAACCGATCTTCATGCACGAAATGAAAGGATTCCAATTGAGCATTGCAGTCTGTAAAGTAGGATGATAGACATCCTCAGGAAGATATAAAGGAGGGACAGAGACATTAGAAGTAAGGTAGTCGTTAACAAATACAAGGTCATGTGTTTTGTTCAGATGATTAGAAATTTAATTGTACGAAAGATCAAGCATGCAGTCTATAAAATCGTGCTGTGCTGAGGGCACTAGATAATTTTCGGCAGTGAATAGTGACCAAGAGATGTTCGGCAAATTAAAATCACTCAACACCATAAATAGGTCACTATCACGCACGTGTGAAGAAACTTATTTAATACAAGTAATATGATTCATATAAACATGAATATCAGAAGAAGGAGGGACATAAGAGCATGTTATATAGATATTCCGTGTAGGAAAAGATACCTTAACTGAGACAATCACAGCGTCACTAGGCATACTAAAACAAAAAATTTCAGACTGGAGAGTGGCTTTAACGGCAATTAACACCCCTCTACCTCGAGTCGGCCGATCATTTGTATCCCAAATAGAATTTTTCGAAAAAACCTCAAAATCAGATATGGTTGAATTTAACCATGTTTCTGAAAATACTTTTTTATCCGAGTCGAAGGAAGTGCTGGTCATGATGATATTGCACGGGGGGAGGAGAAATTAAATTAGGTTATTGACACACTAGCAGAAGATTTGCTAGCAATACAGGCTACCAATGACTCAGAAGTGGTGTCCGACGAAAGTCGAGACAAAAAAACTTGCCTACGAGGGGCAACAACCGTTAGAGTAGGCGCTGATGGGGCTGCAGGTAAAACAGGAGTTGGAGGAGCTAAAGAGGCACCATGATTGCTTTTAACAATCTGGGTAAGATTGCGCGCAGGTCTA